AGGTCACCATTTGAACACGGCAATACTCTGCAAAAAACTACAGTGAGTATCTGTGGACATACTGTCTAATTCTTAAGTTTACCATAAAATAAACTTAAGAAGCTAAGCCGAAGAGAATGTAACATTCTCTTTAATGCTTGAACTCGAACCACCTCTGACTTAGAGCTGAAGAGAATGTAACATTCTCCCTGAACAATGCTTGAATTAGAATCACCTCTGACTTATCCCTACCTAGTAGAAACTCGCCTAGAATGAAATTGTCTGACAGAAATCATTCAGGAATATGAGAGTACTCAGTAATTTGTATCACTCTGTTCCCACAGAACACAGTGGCTGCTGCAGTGAGCTCTTAGCACCTTGCCTTATACAACATAGGCCCTTTAAACGTGTGCCAATACTGTTTATTATGACAATGAAGATCAAAATATTTCAAAACAGAGATGATGATAATGATGTAATTGATACAGAAGAATAAACTGTGCTCTTGGAGTTGACATAAATATAACATTGGCTTAAAAAACTCCAAGAGTGAATTTTGTCATTAGACTCCCTGGATTCAGATTTCCATGTGGAGTGTCTGACTGTGTGACAATGAGCACATTTGATAATAACCAAATTTCACCAACTACCTCATATGTCGAATAGTGACATGAATATTAATTCTTAAATGTATTCTCATGATTAAACAAAATAGCACGGTGAATGGTACATAAAGCGTCAATGTGAACTACTAGTAAACGTTTGCTGTTCTAGAGTAAGTGAACATAATGTGACCTCAATTCCCTCCTTCCAGGAAACGGTCGCCAATGTTGATTTGGCAGTGCAATTCATCCTGCCAAAAAAAAAAATGGTTTAAGTTTTTTCTGTACGTAGTTTTATATTTTGTACCACTTTTATCTTATACTGGCAATTATTATAAATAAATCCTATTGTTAAACTTAAATTGATAATGTTCAACAAACCAATGGGTGCTTGTAAACACTGTCTCAGTTTAAGATGGACAAATAATGTCTCCCTCTGAATTCATCCTATATGATGCCTTCAGGGCTAGCTTTCTAATCACATACTACTTCCTCTCTCAGAAATCTAAAATTTCTCCCTTATTGACTACTTAATAACAAAATAATTCCTTACCTTTGAATATAATAATCTCAAGTAGTCCTATCTTTTCTTATTTTTATTTTTATTTCATTAAGACAGGGTCTGGCTCTGCCACCCAGGCAGTAGTACAGTGGCACAATCTTGGCTCACAGCAACCTCCACCTCCCAGGCTCCAGCAAGTCTCCTGCCTCGGCATCCTGAGTACCTAGGATTTCAGGCCAGCTAATTTTAAATTATTTGTAGAAACAGGGTCTTGGTATGCTGCCCAAGCTGATCTCAAACTCCTGGCCTCAAGTGATCCTCCCACCTTGGCCTCCGAAAATGCTGGAACTACAGGTGTGAACCACACACCAAGCTAGTTTTATTGGAAATTATCTTCTCTTTCCTTTTCCCTTTCCATTCACACTCCTCAAAACCTGTTTACTTTTGGAGACAATACCACATTCGTGTGTACTAAAAGCAGAGTTATTCATGAGAATAAAAATGCTCCCATATAATAAAAGAAATGCAGGAGACAGAAGAACAGTATATATGGTAAATATAAAGAAATATTGACTGAGCAATAAAAATCCCGGGCACTAGGGTTTCAGATATCACAGTCATGTTTTTAGTTAGCCTTTCCATTACTTTATCCAAGACAAAATTAAGTGTGCTATGTTACTATATAAAATTGTTTTATACTTCTAGTAATTTTCTCATGGTCTCAAAGCATATTAATTTACTGTTCATTGTTTGATCCCTGATGCTGAAATAACTGAGAATGTATATTACATTTTCTACATCATCATAATCTAATAGCATAACAATTAGCATAAAATGTGACTTTACATATTTATTGAATAAAGTCATCTTTATTATAATTATTATAGAATTAATTGAATTATACTTTATTGTCCTACTCCAATATGGCTATTCTTTAATGATTATAATATTTATTCAATCTTTTCAAATATTTCTGGAAATTTCTTCCATTAAATAGTAAAAAACTGCCTCATTATTAATGACTGAATACCCACATACTAAAATATGACTTTTCAAAATTATATATTTGGACCTCTAAATAATATTTTTTACCTTTAATTGGTAGCTCAGTAAGTCCCCAGAATAGGGCTAAAGATTCACATTCATTATTTAATCCTCAAAGAATCTTCGTGAGTTTACTACTGTTATCACCATTTAACCAATGGGGATGAACAGGCTTGAAGAATGTATGTTAAAAATGCAAGGTCACAGGCAGGGTTAAGATTAGGCCATATGTATTACCATGATTCAAACTAAATTTCACTGATTTTTCTTGCCTCCAGATTTTGATCAATGGAAAGTCCACGCTAGATTAAACATAATTACAAAAGCTAAATTGATAATGCCAGAGGAGATAGCCAGAGAGGGGCATGACCAGGAGCAAATGGCTTTTGATTTCCAATAAATACAAGTAGACTTTCCATTTCTGGAGAAGTACACTTTCCTGCTGATACAGGCAGGCCCTCTTCTTCTGGCTACTGTGGCTTGTCTGGAGCCTACAGTAGCATCAAGTCAGACTAATATCAGTTGCAGAATTTCAAGAGAAACTATTGACCACTGTTTGGACACCGATGTGTAGAAAATAGTATATCTCCACCTAAGTCAATGGTGGACATCCTCTACAAGCTTTTCTGTCAGTAGATATCCCCTCCTCACAGTGAACTTGTCATAGTGTCATTCCAGGTTCAGCATCCTTCACATACAGTAACCAGCCAAACCAAGGAACCAGCACTGAGAACGAAGTCAAACAAACCAATGTCATAACTCCAGTGAAGGAGGTGAGGGTATTACAAGAAGATAAGAGAAACAGAATCCTCAGGTTCCTTCACCTTTTTCTTAACTTAGAGATGGTGGAACAGGGGTGTACTTTTCTATCTCCTATAAACTTTAAGAACTTTGTGAAACTTGCCTTTGTGTACTTGGGACTGGGATCTCCTTCTCCATATCCTCCTTTAGGAAAATTGATCCATAACAGTTAAGTGAATAAATAACATTGACAAATTGCAGTACTTACATTAATAAGTAACAGTTCTCCAAGAAAGAAACCAAAGCTTTTTTTTTTCAACAATGAAAGCTCAGTTTACATTTGAGTGCCTGTTTTTTAGTGATTAAGATCACATAGGCTGAAAGGAATTTGTTATCTTATAAATTTACCTCAAGAAGCTTTGATATCAGATCTATGATTAAGATGAAATGACCAGACCAGATCCTCTTAATATTTGAAAACATATTCAACATATAGTATTTTTTAAATAAGTTAATATCACTTCAGAATCAGATCTTTCAAATATTAGAACATTTGATTTCAAGAATCAACTATCTTGTCTATATTTACCTCTTCAAAATCATCTCTAATTCAAAATAAAAATCCATATTCTTTCAGATCTCTCTTACAGTTTTCAGTTGTTGTGTACATTTGCCATATTATTTGGTGTTTCGTCTGAAGGTATATAGCAGAGAGGTTAGTAGCAAATTACTTGGAGTCAGATGATCTAGGTGTTAATCCTGGCTTTTCCACTTATGAGACATATAATCTATCTACTATTATTTTAACTCCCATGCATTCTTTGCTTATCAACTACATAAAGACAAAAATATTAAAGACTCAATGTGCTTGTGAGGACAAAATTATATCACCTCTGCAGAGGACCTAACATAGAGCCTGTCACATGCTAAAGACCCAAATAATGGTGGCTATAACATTCCTTCAGTATGGGTAAATTAACTAAAGCTAGAGATTCTGAAATAGATTATGGATTAAACAAAAGCACTATTTTTTCCTCTAGATTAAAGACTTAAAGAAGAATATGTCAGTAGCTAAAATTTATTTAAAAATTATTGAGTGTACAAGGCCTGAGAAAGCAAAACAGACTAAATTTGTGGACCCATATTCAAAAATTGTTTTTATTTATGTCTCTGTTTAGATATCAGAGGTACAATATGATCTCTAAAAACTTAAAGAACATTGATAAACATAAATTTATGAATAAATTCACAACTACTTTGAATATTTTCACTAGATTCATCCAATCATAATAGTTCTAAAAGCCATTAATTCATATAACTGTCTGTGCATAAAAATGTACCAAAATAAATAAGCATAAAAGAAAACCGACAGCAATCAGGTGCAGTGGCTCAAGCCTGTAATCCCTGCAGTTTGGGAGGCCAAGACAGAAGGATCTCTTGAGACCGGGAGTTTGAGACCAGCCTAGGCAAGAGATGAGGATCTCTTTTAGAAAAGAAAGTAAAAGAAAACAGAAAAGAGAATGCTATAGAAGTTCTGGGGAAAAAGAACATAGGACACAAATTTCTCTTGTGTCCTAGCAATTATTTTCCAGAAAACTTTCCAGTTGCCATTTATCCTTGGGTATGCTTTAGAAACAGTGGCTCCATCTATCTAACATCAAATATTTACATCAATTTATTCAATTTTTAGAAATAATAAATTTAAGTCTAATGAAGCTTAAATGGCAAGTTTATAGCTATAATGAAATTAAGACATAACCCTACATTTTATATTTTTAAATCCAATTACCTTGACATTATATAACAATAAATTAAATAGCTGGTTCAGTCACTTTTGGCAATGTGCTTCTCAAACTGATGAAAAGCTGCTAGCACAGACATTTGGTTAAATTGTTTAGTATTTGGATTAGATACACCAGTCAATGTTCCCATTAATATACAGCCTCAAAATATAGGTTGGGCATTTTTCATCTGAAATATCCCCACTATAATTAGCCCTGTCAGCTTGTATTATTTCAAGTATCTTCACTCATATATATCTCAAGGACATTTAAATGTACCATGCAATTAAATTAGTGAGTTCTGCAATAATGTGTGTTATAGTTCCATTTAATATATATGTATATCCAGAATATACACATATGTGCATGTGTGTGTGTATATATGCATGCAGGTATTAAGACAAGTTTCAAGTGAATATATCAAAATATTTAAAGATATTTTTTAAATATTTTTCTTCTCAACCACTGGCTTCAGTTTATCTGAGTCATCCATGGAGGAGCATACATCAGAGAATGGGATTTGTCTGGAAAACAGAGGATATTGCCTGGAATACAGATCTCCATCACAGGGGAATTCACGCTGCAAAGCTGTGTCCAATCGAGAATTCAGTCCCTAAACACACATACCTCTCATGTTATCTCCTAATAACAACACACAGATTCTTTCAATTTTCGGTTGTTCACTCTGCAATTACTGCCATTCAATGACCCAAGCAGGATGAATCACAGCATTGTCACTGAGTTCATTATTCTGGGCTTCACCAAAAAGCCTGAACTCCAGGGAATTATCTTCCTAGTTTTTCTCATTATCTATCTTGTGGCTTTTCTTGGCAACATGCTCATCATCATTGTCATAATCCATAACAACACCTTGCACAGGCCCATGTATATTTTCCTTCTGACACTGGCTATTGTGGACATCATCTGCACAACAAGCATCATACCAAAGATGCTAGGGACCATGCTAAAATCAGAAACCACCATTTCATATGCAGGCTGCATGTCCCAGCTCTCCTTCTTCACATGGTCTCTGGGAGCTGAGATGGTTCTCTTCACCACCATGGCCTACGACCGCTACGTAGCCATTTGTTTCCCTCTTCATTATAGTACTATTATGAACCACCATGTGTGTGTAGCCTTGCTCAGCATGGTCATGGCTATTGCAGCCACCAATTCTTGGGTGCACACAGCTCTCATCATGAGGCTGACTTTCTGTGGGCCAAACACCATTGACCATTTCTTCTGTGAGATACCCCCATTGCTGGCTTTGTCCTGCAGCCCTGTAAGAATCAATGAGGTGATGGTGTATGTTGCTGATGTTACCCTGGCTGTAGGGGACTTTATTCTTACCTGCATCTCCTATGGTTTTATCATTGCTGCTATTCTCCGTATCCGCACATTAGAAGGCAAGAGGAAGGCCTTCTCAACATGCTCATCCCATCTCATAGTTGTGTCCCTTTACTATTCTCCTGTGATCTACACCTATATCCGCCCTGCTTCCAGCTATACATTTGAAAGAGACAAGGTGGTAGCTACACTCTATACACTTGTGACTCCCACATTAAACCCAATAGTGTACAGCTTCCAGAATAGGGAGATGCAGGCAGGGATTAGGAAGGTGTTTGCATTTCTGAAACACTAGTAGTTTCGACGTGGGACATCACCTCTCTACTCTAGAACCATCTTCTAGAGCATCTCAGATTTTACTGATCTTTCATAGTTACCTCCATTCCAAATTTCCTCTCTTATTCCTGCCTTCTTCCTGGAAGTCTCACTGTCTCTAAAGTTCTGTACTCTTATGTGAAGAATATTCATAAAGCAATATATGCAATACACTCATAAATATATATAATGTATATTCCAACATTTTCCAAAAATGTGTACATGACTTCTAATATTTATTATACACAAATACTTGCCTCTAAGGGCACAAGCACACCATACATGCAAATATCACAAAACATTTTATGTATTTTGTGCCGTTTATTTGTTGTTATGTGAATGTGAGAGGGAGAAAAGTAGTGTGTGTGATAAATTTTCCCTTCCTGAATAGGCTGGGTTAATTTACTTGGAGCATTGTAATAATTAGGCATCTACTCTGGGATTCAACCTCATTAAGTTATTTAGATTTCTTTGGAGAAACTGTGGCACATATATACCATGGAATATTATGCAGCCATAAAAAAATGAGTTCATGTCCTTTGTGGGAACATGGATGAAGCTGGAAACCACCGTTCTCAGCAAACTAACACAGGAACAGAAAACCAAACACCGCAAGTTCTCACTCATAAGTGGGAGCTGAACAATGAGAACACATGGGCACAGGAAGGGGAACATCACACACCAGGGCCTGTCAGGGAGTGGGGGAATAGGGGAGGGATAGCAGTAGGAGAAATACCTAACGTAAATTATGGGTTGATGGGTGCACCAAACCACCGTGGCACATGTATACCTATATAACAAACCTGCATATTCTGCACATAGGTATACATGTGCCATGGTGGTTTGCTGCACCCATCAACCTGTCATCTATATTAGGTATTTCTTACAGATATACATATATATATAATGTTTTGTTATATGATATATGTAACAAACTGTAATATAAGCAAATACGTCACTTTCTGCATTATACTTTTTTTACTTAATATAATCTAGAGATAACTTCATAATGGTCTTACATACAAATGTGCACTCACACACATATGTACCTATATGTACAGATATATATATATGCACATGTGCATACATATATTACACATTCCACAATACTTGTAATTTTTTGGCTCTTTGGAATTTATTGAGACTCATTTTTAGGGTGAAATGGTCAATTTTTAAGTTGTTTTATATGTGCTGGTAATAGTCTCCACTCTCTTATTGGCAGAGTATAACATACAGTATTAGTTTAATGTATGCATTTTCAAGTTTATTAAGGTATTTATATATTTGATATGTCTGCAAATAGAATACTATTGGTTTATTATTTAGACTATTTTGTCAGGTTTATGAAACTTGTTGATCTTGTGTTCTCTTTTTATTTTTTCTTCCTTATGACATCTTTTTGTGATCAACTTACTTTCATTTCATTTTGGAATTAAAAAAACTGACATAAAATTTATGTGTTATTGTTTACAGCCTTACATTCTGAAGCATAGATGCATTGTGGAGTGACTAAATTTAGTTAATTAACATATGTGTTACCTCACATAATTATCATTTTTATGGTAGAAACACTGTATATCCACTCTCTTAGTATAAGAGTATAGTATATATGGTTTTCTAAAGAGCTAGTATGGGCTAGACAGGGAAGAAAGTTTTTTTCCCAAAAAAAAAGAAAAAACAGCAAAGAAATACTGAAAATAACATAAGAAGAAGATCTACCATTCATATATTCAAAGTCTCAAAAGAAAATGAATGTGAAACACAAAAAGTATTGGAAGAAATAACAGCCATGACTATCCAAGATTTGGTGGAAGGCATAAATCTAAAAATTCAAAAAGATTAGAAAACCCCAAATAGGATAAACATAAATAAATCTGCAACAAACCACATCATAAGTAAATGTTTTAAAATTAAGAAGGAAGGAATCTTGATAACAACCAGAGAGAAACAAGAGATTACTTATAAGAGAAACACCAATTGATTTATTGATTGATTATGGTTAAGGAATGTGTTTCATTTTGGTTTTGCTCCTGACAGCTTTTTATTTTATATTATTTTTAAAATTTTCACATATTTTCAGGCTTATAAGAACCTCACAAAAATTTTTAAAGTATTTCTAAATACCTTTCATCCAGATTCAAAAGGATAGCTCTTGATATTTCACCATGAAACACAAAGTTTAATGTAGGAATTTTTTCACAGATGCTGTTTATTAGATTAAGAACATATTATTGTATTTCTTCTTTCTAAGAGCATTCTTTTTAACTTTTATTTTAGGCTCAGAAATACATATACAGGTTTGATCTATAGGTGAACTGCATGTCACAAGGGATTGGTGTGCACATTCTTTTGTCACCCAGATAATAAACATAGTAGCTGATAGGTAGTTTTTCAATCCTCACACTCTTCTCTCTCTCTACCCTCAAGAAGTCTCTGTTATTATTTTCTCTGTGTCTATATTTACTCAATGTTTAGCTCCCACATGTAAATGAGAACATTTGGTACTTAGCCCTCTATTGTTATTTTGCTTAGAATGATGACCTCCAGCTCCATCCATGTTTCTGCAAAGGACATGATCTCATCCCTTTTTATTGCTGCATGGTGTTTCATGGTGTATATGTACCACATTTTCTTTATCCAGTCCAACATTGATGGACATTTAGGTTGACTTCACGTCTTTGCTATGATGAATAGTGCTGCTTGAAAAAGAAATGAACAAACAATAAAACATATCAGCAAAGAAACAGAAGTTATGAATAAGAACCAAATGAAAATAATATAACTGAAAATAATCAAATATATCAAATAAACAAATGAACATACATTTTCATGTGCCTTTATGGTAGGAACAAGTTATATTCCTTTGGATATATACTCAATAATGAGATTTCCGGGTCAAATGATACTTCTATTTTAAATTCTTTGAGAAATTGCTAAACGACTTTCCACAATGGCTAAACTCATTTTCATTCCCACCATCAGTGTCTTCTCATTCCCTTTTCTCTGCAACCTTGCCACCATCTGTTATTTTTTGACTTTTTAATAATAGGCATTCTGATGGGTGTGATAATGGCATCTCATTGTGGTTTTGACTTGCATTTCTCTAATAAACAGTGATGCTGAGAATTTTTTCATATGCTTGTTGCCAGTCTACGTACTTTCTTTATAAAAGTGTCTGTTCACATCCTTTGCCTACTTTTTAATGGGGTTGTTTGTTTTACACTTGTTAATTTGTTCAACTTCCTTACTGACCCTGGCTATTATAACTTCATCAGGTGCATACTTGGCAAAGATTTTCTCCCATTCTGTATATTGTCTGCTTACACTGTTGATAATTCCTTCTGCTGTGCAGAAGCTATTGCTATTTTAATTAGGTCCCATTTCTCAATTTTTGGTTTTGTTGCAATTGCTTTTGGTGTCTTCACCATAAAATCTTTGCCAGAGTCTATGACCAGAATGGTATTATTTCCTAGGTTATCTTCCAGAGTTTTTAAAGTTTTAGGTTTTACATTTAAGTATTTATCTATCCTGGGTCGGTTTTTTATATGGTGTAAAGAAGAGATCCAGTTTCAATCTTCTGCATATGCCTGGTCAGTTATCCCAGAACCATTTATTGAATAGGGAGTCCTTTCCCATTGCTTGTTTTTGTCAGGTTTGTCAAAGATGATAGCATACGTGGGTGGCATTACTTTGGGGGCTTTCTATTCTGTCCCACTGTTCTATGTGTCTTTTCTTGTACCAGTATTATGCTGTTTTGGTTACTAAAATCTTGTATAGTTTGGGATGTCGGATAATATAATCCCTCCATTTTTGTTCCTTTTGCTTAGGATTGCCTTGTTTATTAGGGCTCTTTTTTGATTCTATATAAATTTAAAAATAGTTCTTTTTAAATTCTACAAAGAATTTCATTGATAGTTCAATAGGAATAGCATCAGATCTATAAATTGCTTTGGGCACTATAGCCATTTTAACAGTACTGATTCTGCCTATCCATGAACATGGAGTTTTTTTCCATTTCTTTATGTCATCTTTGATTTCTTTGATCAGTGTTTTGTAATTCTCCTTGTAGAGATCTTTCACCTCTGTGATAGCTTTATTCCTAGGTACTTTATTCTTTTTTCTTTTAGCTATCATGAACAGAATTTTGTTCCCATTTGGCTCTCAGCTTGGATATTTTTGGTGAATAGGAATGCTATGGATTTTTTTGTTTTTGAGACTAACTGAGTCTCACCCTGTTGTCTATGCTGGAATGCAGTGGTGTGCTCTTGACTCACTGCAACCAGCACCTCCCAGGTTCAAGCCATTCTCCTGCCTCAGCCTCCCAAGTAGCTGGGACTATAGGTGTACACCACCACACCCAGCTAATTTTTGTATTTTTAGTAGGAATGGGGTTTCACCATGTTGGCCAGGCTGGTCTTGAACTCCTGACCTCAGGTGATCCACTCTATATGAAAAATCCACTGCTAACTTTCTGTTGAATGAGGCCAAGTTGAAAGCTTTTCCCCTAAGATATAGAAAAAGAAAAGAGTGTCCACTTTTAGCACTTGTATTCAACATAGTACTGAAAGTTTTAGCCAGAACAATTAAGCAAGAAAAAAAAAAAGGCATCCAAATTGGAAAGGAGGAAGTTAAATTGTCACTGCTTAAAGGTGACATGTTATCATATATAGAAAACTCTAAAGATTCTACCAAAAACTTGTAGAACTGATTAACAAATTTAGAAAAGTTGCAGGATATAAAATCAAAATACAAATCAATAGCATTTCTGTATACTAATTCTTCAGCTATAAAAATAAGTCAAGAAAAGAATATCATTCTCAGTAGGTAAAAATACAAAATAAAATACTTAGGAATAAATTTAACTAAGGCGGTTAATGATTTCTGTACCGAAAACTATAAATCATTGATTTTAAAAATTGAAGTAAAACCCAAATAAATGGATATATATCCTGAGTTCATTTTGGAAGAATAAATAAAAATGTCTATACTCCCTGAAGCAATCTACAGATTTTATGCAATCCCAATCAAAATACCAATGGCATCCCTCATATACACAGAAAAAAAAATCTACAATTCTCATGATACCACAAAAAAAATACCAAATAGCCATAGCAATTTTGAGTAAAAAGAACAAACATGAAGACATTATATCACAGGCTTCATAATATACTACTACAAAGCTATAGTAAACAAAACAGCATGGTACCGGCATGGA